ACTTTGCAACAAGAATCCTGAGACATGTCTAGTCCTACAGTTCAAGTTAGGGATTCTCAATGAAATTTAGAAAACAATAAATAACTGGTTTGAAATGTAAAGCTTTGATACTGGTATATGCCTTTTTTAGTCTTCGTGGTACATGTCTTTGGATTATTTACTTACGAAGATGAGAAACCACCTGATAGGTATTCAGAAAGCACTACGTTATTGATACATAGATTAACACGGCTGACTTAATTATAAATGAACATAATGTTCTACCAAAATTGGTGGTATATGTCTTTGGACTATTTACTTAAGAAGATGAGTTCATGATGGCCTTCATGAGTTCGAAAAGCTAGTCTTCTCAACCTCCCCCTCCCTCATAAGAATTTGATGATAAACAAATTTTAAATCTAACTTGGAAAATGTGGTTGCCCCGGTCAATTAATCCAACAATTCCTTTATAACTGGAATAGGAAATTTGTTTGGGACAATTATTTTGTTGAGAGCCCGATAATCCACACCAAACCGCCACCCGCCACCCGCCATCTTTCCTCTTGACCAATACGATTGGACTAGAATAAGACTAGAATAAGGAATTATGCTAGGTATGATAATTCTCGCATGCAACATTTCTTTGATTAAGCATTCAATCTCATTCTTTTGATGATGAGAGTATTAGTAGGGCCGAAGATTAGGAATAGAAGTGCCTTCCTCACGATGTATAGCTGGGTGGGAGGCTAATTGGATCCTAAAATTTTCATCAAGCATCTCCAAAATTGGCAAAAGCTGAACAAGAACCTAGCGTTCGTCGTTGTTCACATTTAATCACATAACAGGAGCCTTCTAACTTGAATTCAAGCACAAACCATTTTATAGAAGATTCGGATTTGGACAAAGTGGGATCAACCAAAAGGATATGCTCCTTAGGCCCCTTACCAATTGTTAATCTAAACTACCAAAATCAGCCCTTACCTCCCAAGTGAAGCCAACCAATCCAATCCCAAAATAACATCCACATCTTCCAATGTGAAAACAAAAAATTGTTGAATTTTCAAACCCTGCACATCCAGAATAAAACCTTGACACTGCACCTTATGTCCATCCCCCACCTCTATGACATATGGAAGAGTGGGTTCTAGATGTAAACCACATTTGGCAATCAGATTCTAGGAAATAAAATTTTGGGACGCTCCACAGTCCAACAAAACATCGACTTGCTCCTGACCAATTGCACCCCAAAGTTTCCAAGACTTCCTAGTTGTAAGTCCTGCCATAGTATATTGAGATAGTTCTAATGTCGTACTTAGCTTTGTACCCCTTCCCTGTGAGCATCATTAGGAGTGGGAAAGGTATCTAGCCAAGAGAACTCGTGTTAGGTCATTAAAGGTGTACATGCGGCGAAAGAATAAAAAGGGAGGAAATAAGTAGTGGGAAAGGTGGTTAGTTGTTAGAAGAGAGAGAGGGAGTATAAATAACAAACAAAATAGGGTTGAGGGGAATCAGATATTTTACTTTTGGAATAGACTGGACATTTTCCAGTGGAGGAAGGGAGGCTTCCTTGGAACACTTACTGTAATTCTGTTTTTCCATACTTTACAAAATTAATGAAATACGTATACATTCATCTCTTTTCTACTGTTTGAGTGTTGTGAGAGAGGGGAGTCACCTGTTACGGTTCCCTGCATAAAGGAACCTAACAATTCTTCCTCCAACAAAAGCAGCATATGTAATTGTTTATTTCTAGAAACATGATTAGGACCAAACGTCTCATCACACCTGTAATAGAGGCCCTTCTTAATTTTATCTTGTAATTCCTCTTGTGACAATTTTCTAAAAGGCGTGTGGCCTGGCTGATGCACTGTAGGAACACTACGAAAAGTGCTTGCAGAAGCACTGCTTTCCCCTCGACCAGTGCTGGAAATAATAAAGCCAGCCAAGTTTCCCCCATCCTTTGAAAAACTGCGAAGTCACGAAAATAGGTTTGGAGGCAGGAGTAGTGCATTGAACATGGAAAAAACCATCTTTGGAGATTACTCTACTATTTTCTTCCACCATTTGGGGCTTCATCATTAACTCAAGAAGAGTGATAGGTTCATACAACTTAACCTCAACCTTGATTTCCTCCTTCAACCCATTCAAAAAAATGTCAACCAAATAATTATAATGAATCCCCTTTAGAAACCCAACATATTGTTCAAATTGCTCAATATAATCTTCCACTAAACCCGATTGACACAAACCAATCAGAATTTCAAAAGGATTTTGAAGCATCGTTGGTTGAAACCAGTGGACAACGACCACCTTGAAGGCTTCCCGTGTGGGATTTGGATTATAGGATTCCCACCACTGAAACCAATTTAAGGCCTTTCTTTCCAAAGCAACAATGACAGCCTGCATTCACTCCTCCGCACTTACTTCCTTCAACCGAAAATAACGTTCAAGATGATGAGTCCATCCATATGCCTCTGCCCCTACAAATACTAGAATGTCCAATTCCTCCATTTGGAAGAAGACAAATTGAGACTTGTCTCTTGCTCCCAACGTGACCCATGACCAATATGTGACACTGAAGGAGGTTCACCCTTGGTAGGGCTACAAGACCATGTTTCGACCACCCCGGTTAAGCCTCGAATCATGTCCTCCAATCGCTTGAAGCACTCATGAGTCTGATTTTCCTGGTGGGCCTTATCTTGCAAAAATTCCTGCAACATCATTTCCACTACATCCAGTCTGGATTCCATTCGTGTATTCACCATACTCCACACCCCGGCAAGACCAAGAAAGTGGCTCTGAATACCAAATTGATAGGTATTCAAAAATCACTAGATTATTGATAGATAGATTAACACAGATGACTTAATTAGAAATGAACATAATGTTCTACCGAAATGTTAAAAATAGAAAAACATCAACATACAATCCACCAGGTCTTTCTAAAGGACCCTACTCTCCAGATTTCCTTTTTTGTCCACCCCTTCCTAGCCAAAAAGAAAAACCTCCTAAAATCAACCCAACATAAACAAAATATAATAGATAATTACACAACACAATTGCGGGAAGTTATAACCTGCCAGGAAGTTATAACTACCTACCTCCTATATTTCTTCTAACATAAACCTTGCCACTAAACCTATCACCACCTCTGTATCTTTCACTCATCTTAGTAAATGTGTATTGTGTGCTTCTGTTTAACTAACACACAGCTACAACACAAAGTAATAAACTTCAAGTAGACTTAACGTCTACTTAATTAAGATAAGCTTACTTGGTATACTGTACCTGATATAAGATGGCTCTCCTCTTATCTGTTCCAACATATTCCTCAAGATACTCCTGCGAGACAAACATAAATTATTCTTTAAGACCCCAAGGAAAAAAAATTAATAAACTCTCTTAAGATATCAGTAACTGTAGATCAGAGTTGTTTCAAGACAACAAATACACAACCTTCGTCTCAATGTTAATATTCATGATAACAGCAAGACTCTTTGATATGATTACATATTTAGGGGTTCAACTTTTTTATCCACACTTAGTTCTGTTATAGTTATGGCTCAATGCACTTTGTGGAATCAAAGGAATTAAAAAGTGGGCACAAAGGTTAGGAAGACAACTTGTTATTCATTAACAAAAATAATGAACAAAAGCAAGAAAAGGTTCTTACTTGTGAATAATGGGTGTCCAAGTCAACAGCAGCCCTTTGTTCAGGAGTCTTAGCTTTCACGAAACGATAAGCAACAGAGAACGTTTGTCGGTCCAACTGCAAAACATTAAATGAGTAAGCCACCTCGTAGGGATTGAGGTATGGTGCCTAAAATCTAAACCGGCCAAAACAATGGTATGTGTCACTGCACATACATATATCTTTCCTGTATTTAAGGTATGTGAAATATCTTGATGGTCAATTTCAAATAGCTGCATCTGAAGTATGAGAATTACCATTTCCTTTTCTTATA